AAGAGACAGTTGGTCACTCTGTTTTCTGCACCCAATTATTGTGGAGAGTTTGACAATGCAGGTGCCATGATGAGTGTGGACGAAACACTAATGTGTTCTTTTCAGGTAGAGCATGATTTTAACAATTCTTTCCTTTTTATTATATTTAGATTTTGCTGGCTAGAAAAATGAATTGCTATTTTATATTTATTGTTTACATTGAGTAGGCCAAATTTTTAGGTTCCCTTAACCAGTATTTGTTGTAGTAGAATAATGTGTGGATCCCTTTTAAAGGAATAAAATTATCACAGGACCTTTCTTCCAATGTTAAATATAACTGTTTTTGCATTACTTAAATAGGTAAAAATAAAATACAAATCTAAAACCATAATGTTGGGCTAAAATTAAATCACCACTTGGGTGGGAAAGTAGTACTAAGTGCCACATGCCAGGGGTGCTATATGATTACTTAGTTGTGTCCTCTTTAGTCTAATTTCCACAAAACCTTTTTTTTTTTTTTTTTTTTTTAAGACGGAGCCTCAAGCTATCCCCCTGGGTAGAGTGTCATGGCATCACAGCTCATAGCAACCTCCAACTCCTAGGCTCAAGCGAGTCTCCTGCCTCAGCCTCCCAAGTAGCTGGGACCACAGGCGCCTGCCACAACGCCTGGTCATTTTTTGGTTGCAGCCATCGTTGTTTGGCGGGCCCGGGCTGGGGATTCGACCCCGCCACCTTAGGTGTATGTGGCTGGCACCTTAGCCGCTTGAGCCACAGGCGCCGAGCCACACAAAACCTTTGTTGATGTACCATGACACCATTTGGTCATCAGTCAGCACAAAAGCATTATTTACGCATAGAGTCTGCCTCAATCTTTTTATCATTTGCTTATTATGATAAACTTGTGGGACTTCAAGCCAGCCCAGTTATGAACATAAATGCACCTATTGAAATCATGTGGCAATGAATTAAAACAATTTTTTTGGCTGGGCAGTGACCCATGCCTATAATCCTAGCACTCTGGGACCCTGAAGCAGAGGAGTGTCCTTCACTTTTGGTGCAGAAGTGGTTGCAAAATTTCTCGATACGCATGATTTGCTTCTTATTTGTAGAGCTCATCAGGTATTGATTTTGAATTTTACATGGACACGTAAGCACTTAAGTGTTTTACATGTACACTTTACATGGATCACTTGAGCTTAGGAGCTTAAGAACAAACAGCCTGAGTAATAGCAAGACCCTGTCTCTACTAAAAATAGAAAAATTAACCAGACCATCATAGCGGGTACCTATAGGAGACTGAGGCACAGTGCCCAGGAGTTGTAGATTGCTGTGAGCTATGATGACACCACAACACTCTACCCAAAAACAACCCCCCCAAAATTCTTTTACCCACTATCGCAGTTCCCAGAGATTGTGCAAGCACCCCTAGGGGTTTGAGAAACACTTCTAGAGAACTTTTCCCTCTTACGTCTGAAGATACTACCAGGGTATATAGACTTCAGAAAATTGTCATTTTACTTAGAGGCAAAGTAAATAATTTGTCCTGATGATAAGAGGCAAAATAAATAATTTGTCCTGATTGTAGGTGTTACCTGTTCATCATAGCATTGATTACCAGATGTTTATGTGTCAACTTAGTTTGGGATAATATGCTAGTGGGGCTTTCACAGTCCTTTGGGGGCAGTTTTAAACAGTCAAAAACCTTTCTGAACAAAAGATTTGAATGAGATTTAAGGACGCTTTTAAGATTTGGGATTGAGTATATTTCCTAAAATGCACTGTCTTTTGAATCTTCAGATTTTAAAGCCGGCAGAAAAAAAGAAGCCGAATGCCACGAGACCTGTAACACCTCCAAGGGGTATGATCACAAAGCAAGCAAAGAAATAGATGTCAATTTTGACACTGCCTAGTTGGGACTTGTAACATATAGTATATAACCTTCATTTTTAAGACTGTAATGTGTACTGGTCAGCTTGCTCAGATAGATCTGTGTTTGTGGGGGCCCTTCCTTCTATTTTTGATTTAGCAAATTCCATTTGCTGGTTATAACAGCAAATGAAAGACTCCACTCTAAAAAAAAGTGTTTTGTTTTTTAATTCCCTTTTCCTTTTGCAAACAATTTTAATGATGGTGTTAAAGCTATACACCCCAGGACAGTTTATCCTGTCAAAGGGGTAAGTGTACAATTGATCATTTTTTAATTCAGTAAAAACCCATAATAATGTAAATGCTTGTTTTCTTTAGGCTATAATGAGAGCCCTAGGGTGCTCTGAATCTGTACATGTTCTTGTCATAAAATACATACTGTTGATACAAACCACTGTGAACATTTTTTATTTTAAAATTTTGTTTCAAAGGGATTGCTTTTTCTTTTCATTGTCTTGTCATGTACAAACTAGTTTTTATAGCTATCGACATTAGGAATAACTTTCAACCTTGCCAGCATCACTGGTATGATGTATATTTAATTAAAGCACACTTCCCCTACCATATACTTAAAATGACAATTAAAGCCATTCTTTTAAATGTTTGTGACTCTTTCCTAAAGCCAAAGTTTCTGTTGAAATATGTATTGACACACCCCTAAGTACAAGGTGGCATGGTTGTATACATATGCTGCCTTCTTGGGGATTCAAAAACTGGTTTTTGATTTTGAATAGTAGTTAGTAATATAGTGCTGTTTAAGCTATTAATGATTAAAGTTAATAACATTTTGTACAATTTCCATATAGTCTATTCATTAAGTAATCTTTTTACAGTTACATCAGGCCTGAACTCGTCCATTCAGAAAGCTTCAAATTATAGAAACAATACTGTTCTATACGAGTGACCGATTATGCTTTCTTTGGCTACATTCTTTATTCAGCGGTGAAGTTGAGGCTTCTAAGTCAAAACAAAGAAACTAACTTACTATCCACCAATTTATACAGAATTCACAGTATCTATGACTTTTTTAAACTAAGATCTGTTAAAAAGAAATCTGTTTCAACAGATGACCGTGTACAATACCATGTGGTGAAAATGCATTCAGACTTATTAAATGATGAACTTGTTAAATCCTCTCAGTGTCTATTTATCAGCACAATACACACAGGAAAACTGTTGATGGCATATTGAATAGATTTTAATGAATAAATTGCTCTGGAAACCCCACAGTTTCATTTCAGATTTGTCTTCCTTCAAATAGTCTGTTTTCCAAAGGTGGATTGTAACATGGATGCTTATTCTTTGAGTTCTAACTTGGGTATAACTAAATTTCTATACTAGGATGATGAGATTGGACTATCCTCCCCTACTGTTGGATGGGATGGGAATTAAAATCTGGATTCTTTTTAACTTGGCAATAAATTCACAAGTAACTTAGTTTATTATTCTGACTCAGCCACCTACATTTTCATGTCATTCTTGGATCTCTTTCCCCCTTCCCTCATTCATATAAACAGTGTTGTGTCATAATTTTGTTACAGGTGTGCTGAGTGCTTATTCATTTCCTAAAACATATGCCAAAAATGGATATTTCCAAAAGCATTTTTTTCCTATTTCAAACCGCTTTCCAGAGATTCTTTCTGGAATGTTCTGTGTGATTGGCAAAGAACCTCCTAATGGGAAACTGGACACACAAACAAGGGTCCAACCTCCCATCTACTAGTAGGCCCTGGGCCTGAGGCATGTGGCCTCTGGTATACTGTAGTAAGGAAGACTGGACCTCATTACATTCTGGCTGCTCATTCTTTGACAAATCCAGACTAGATAATATTTTCCTGGCTGTCTTTAAAATTATTTTAAGGAACCTAGGCACATGGCACAGGTTAAAGGATAGAACAAAATCAATCAGCTTGGCACCTGTGGCTCAAGCAGCTAAGGCGCCAGCCACATACAGCGGGTTCAAATCCAGCCTGGGCCCACCAAACAACAATGATGGTTGCAACCAAAAAATAGCTGGGCGTTGTGGCAGGCGCCTGTGGTCCCAGCTACTTGGGAGGCAGAGGCAGGAGACTTGCTTGAGCCCAGGAGTTAGAGGTTGCTGTGAGCTGTGATGTCATGGCACTCTACCCAGGGCGAAAGCTTGAGGCTCTGTCTCAAAAAAAAAGAAAAAGAAAAGAAAAGAACAAAATCAATCTTTGGTTTTAGGATATGACATCATCGTTAGGAGAGACTCAAGTAATTTGAAATTAGTGTGTGACAACAGAACTTAGTGTGTGCTTTTATAACCTAATGATTACACTTGGTCCAAGTTCTGGCTCCTCTCCTGCCTACGTGATTTGAATGAGTGACTTGAATGCTGAGCCATTATGTAAATGGACAGTTGTCCCTGACTCATAGAGTGAATCTTTTTTTTTTTTCCTCTGAGACAGAATCTCTCACTTTTCTTGCTCCCAGTAGAGTGCTGTACCATCACAGCTCACAGCAACCTCCAACTCTTGGGCTCAAGTGAGTCTCGTCTCAGCCTCCCAAGAAGCCAGGACTAGAGGAGCTCACCACAATGTCCAGCTGTTTTTAGAGACAAAGTCTTGCTCTGGATCAGGGCAGTCTCGAAGTCGTGAACTCAGGCAGTCCACCGGCTTTGGCTTCCCAGAGTGCTAGGATTACAGGTGTGAGCCACTACACCTGGCCTGGTATTGTGAATCTTGAATGAAGACACATGATATGCTTAGAAGAATGCTTGGCTCATAATGATATTCAGTAATTGTTCTGTATTTGCCTTATAGTAAAACCCAGTTGTTTCATGCGATTGAACATCTTAGTTGGCTAAATTCAAAGTGACACCTGCCTTTTCACTCGTACTCTTATAACCTGGTATTGAGCCGTAAAGTATCTGTTAGCACTTACTGCAGATGTTTACAGCAAATGCAAAAGAACTAGGAAATGGAAATGGATTTGTTGAAATTATTAGTGTGATATTTTAAATTCTACTTCTAAATGACTTTTTTAAAATCTCAGATTAATAGAAGTGTATATATGACTCTGTTACATTGTTTGCATTTGTTAGGAAAAGTCTGAGTTGTATTTACATGAGTCCTTCACCCAGGAGATGTGCCATGTACCCCTACATTAAGTGATTTTTAAAAGTATTTCTAATTTTAAGGTGACAGCTCCAGTACAAAACCATACAGAAGGACAGGTGATGGCCATCCTTAAGTAGCTGAGTAACCTATAGGATAATGTTCGTGTTCTTGAAGTACCTTGATTTAAGGATAGAGAGTTTACAAATAACGTACACATAAATAGAATATGGAACACTGGGACAAGGGACAAATTACCAGGTGCTGAGCCATGAAGAAGGCACAGGATTTAAAGCGATGGAAAATAAGGTAAATCACCTAAATTTCCCACTGTGGTACCATATTGGGAGTTTGAAAGAGAATTCAGTTCGCTTGAAGATACAAGATAAACTAACAGGCTTCATGCCCATAGCTCAGTGGTTAGGGCGCCGGCCACATAGACTTGAGCTGGTGGGTGCTAACCAAGCTCAGGCCTGCTAAATGACAACAACAAAAATAGCTGGGTGTTGTGGCGGGCACCTGTAGTCCCAGCTATTTGGGAAGCCGAGGCAAGAGAATCACTTAAGCTCAAGAGTTTGAGGTTGCTGTTAGGTGTGATGTCATCTTGACACTACATTGAGGGCAGCATAGTGCAACTCTATCTCAAAAAAAAAAAAAGAAAAAGAAGCTAAGGCAAGGTAAACATAATTGTACCCGAGAAACAAGACTGTTGCAGGGAAGTGCTGCATGAACAATGTTAGGTGTGTTGGCAGTTACAGACTAAATGTGTGATGCAAAACAGACCCATGGAGAATATGAGTGTCTTATAATCCAAGTGTCATGTGACTTTAGTAATAGGGACACATATTTTGCTGATGTTTGGGTGTATATTATAGAAGACAAGATAAGAGTGCCCTTCAAAAAGTAGGTTCAAATACATTTCAAGTACTATGCCCATTTTCCCATCTTGAGAAAAGACCCAAAGCTCATTCAACCTTACAGGCAAGCTAGCTCAAATCTGCAGAGATGTTTTTTGTTTTTTGTTTTTTTTGAGACGGAGCCTCAAGCTATCCCCCTGGGTAGAGTGCCATGGCATCACAGCTCACAGCAACCTCCAACTCCTGGGCTCAAGCGAGTCTCCTGCCTCAGCCTCCCAAGTAGCTGGGACCACAGGCGCCCGCCACAACACCTGGCCATTTTTTGGTTGTAGCCATCATTGTTATTTGGTGGGCCTGGGCTGGATTCAAACCCGCCACCTTAGGTGTATGTGGCTGGCGCCTTAGCCGCTTGAGCCACAGGTGCCGAGCCTGCAGAGATGTTTTGATGAAAAAAGTTTTTGGTTTGGCGCCTGTGGCTCAAAGGAGTAGGGCACTGGCCCCATATGCCAGAGGTGGTGGGTTCAAACCCAGCCCTGGCCAAAAAACCGCAGGGAAAAAAAGTTTCCAGTTCTTGGGGTGGCACCTGTGGTGCTGTGAGTAGGGCCTCAGCCCCATATACCAAGGGTGGTGGGTTCTAGCCCAGCCCCGGCCAAACTGCAACAAAAAATAGCCAAGTGTTGTGTTGGGTGCCTGCAGTCTCAGCTACTCTGGAGGCTGAGGCAAGAGAATCGCATAAGTCCAAGAGCTGGAGGTTGCTGTGAGCTGTGACACCATGGCACTCTACCGAGGGTGACAAAACTGTCTCTTAAAGAAAAAAGTTTCCAGTTCTGCAAATCAGATGTACCCAGCCTTTTTTAAATGCTGGGTTCAAACCCAGCCCTGGCCAAAAACTGAAAAATAAATAAATAAAAAATAAACACTGCTAAATATAGAAGAACTACAGTAAAAATAAAGGCTCAGCGCCTGTAGCTCAGCGGCTAGGGCGCTAGCCACATACACAGGAGTTGGCTTCAAATCCAGCCTGCAGCTGCCAAACAATGATAACTGTCTCAGTGCCCATTGCAAAGTGGTTACGGCGCCAACCACATACACCAAAGTTGGAGGGTTTGAACATGGCCCAGGCCAGCCGACCAACAATGACAACTGCAACAAAAAATAGCCGGGCATTGTGGCCGGTACATGTAGTCCCAGCTACTTGGGACGCTGAGGCAAGACAATCGCTTAAGTCAAAGAGTTCAAGGTTGCTGTAAGCTGTGATGCCATGGCACTTTTTAGAGGGCAACATAGTGAGACTCTGTCTCAAAAAAAAAAGAAAAAAGGAAAGGAAAAAAACAACAATGACATCTACAACCAAAAAATAGCCCGGTGTTGTGGCAGGCACCTGTAGTCCCAGCTACTTGGAAGGCTGAGGCAAGAGAATCACTTAAGCCCAAGAGTTTGAGGTTGCTGTGGGCTGTGACGCCACAGCACTTTACTGAGGGTGAGTAAGTGAGACTCTGTCTCAGAAAAAAATAAACACAGCTAAATATAGAAAAACTACAGTAAAAATACAGGTTTGGCACCTGTGTTCAGTGGCTAGGGCGCTGGCCACATACACTGGGGCTGGCAGGTTTGTACCTGACCCAGGCCTGCCAAACAACGACAACTATAAAAAATAGCTGGGTGTTGTGGTGGGCTCCTGTAGTCCCAGCTACTTGGGAGGCTGAAGCAAGAGAATTGTTTAAGCCCAAGAGTTTGAGGTTGCTGTGAGATGTGATGGCAGAGCAACATAGTGAGACTCTGTCTCACATAAATGAATAAATAAATAATGTGGTATTGTAATTTTACAGGACCACCATTGTACATAGTGGTCCATTGTTGACTGAATTGTCTTTGTGTGGCACTTGTATTTTTAGTGTCTTCAGTGACGTATCTTAATACTAAAGAATACATAAAACAGGGTGGTGCCTGTAGCTCGGGAGGTGGGGCGCTGGCCCCATATACCGAGGGTGGTGGTTTCAAACCCAGACCTAGCCAAACTGCAGGAAAAACATAGCCGGGCGTTGTAGCTGGCGCCTGTAGTCCTAGTTACTTGGGAAGCTGAGGCAAGAGAATCACCTAAGCTCAAGAGCTGGAGGTTGCTGTTAGCTGTGATGCTATGGCACTCTACCGAGGGTGACAAAGTGAGACTCTGTCTCTAAAAAAATAAATAGGAAAAAAAAGAATAGATAAAACACCCACGTATACATCACCTGGGTTAAGCAGTAGAATATTATTAACATCTCGGGACCCCCACTGTGTGCACCTCCTC